ATATCTCGCGCAGCTTCGCCCCCGTCCCAGCCAAGTCGCCGCAAGCGGCAGCGTCCATCCTTTTCATGGCTGAGTAATCTTCCACGAGCCCACCCCACTGCTCCATCCACCGTCTGTGGTGGGGCACATGGGTAGTTTCCTCGCCGTCATGAAGTCACAGCAGCTCTGCTGACCACATCCAGAGACGGGCAGCCAGCGGACTCAGCCTGGACACACCTGAGGACACTGCACTGCGTGCAATAAGCCCACGTGGGCACTTGGCTGCTCGGCCGCCCCCGTGAGCCCCATGTGGAACCCAGCTCAGAGGCACAGACTGGCAGGGGTGCCCGGCCGGCAGGGCTGGGGGAGTGGTGCGGACAGAGGCTCAGTGTACGGGACGGGGAGTCCTGGACGAGGGCACAGTCTTGCGGACGAGACAAGGCCGTGAGTGTGCTGCCCGCTGGCCAGAACCCACCGCACACTTGCCACGCACACCCGCTGCCCGCTGCAGTCTTGGGGACAGCACTGACTGCCCGCAGAGGGCACGGAGGGGCCCCGAGTGGCCTGGGTGCCAGTGGGGAGCTGCCTGTGGCTCCTGGCCAGCTGCTGGCCTTGGGCTGGCCTGGGGATCTCTTGCCAGCCTGCTGCTGCCCTCCCAGCCGGGGAAGCCCCCCCGCCTGCCAGTGCACCCCTGTGGGGCAGGGGCAGCGCCTTCCCTGCTGGGGTGTTTGCCCTCTGTAGCTTCCTCTGGTGTATCTGCCTTTGAGGACTGTCTCCTCATCCCACCACAGGGGGACTCTGCCCTGCCGGCTGTGGTGCAGGCTTCAGGCATATAGCCCCGAGGCCCACGAGGCCAACCACAGGGGTGGTGGCTGGGGCTCTGGAGAGGGGCCTGGGCCAGGAAGCAGCTGGGGACCAGGCGGCCCCCAGAACCTTTCCTGTGAACTGTTAGCCTGGCCCCTGCTGAGGGGCGGTGGCCTGCTGCTGCTGGCAAGCAGATTTCCCAGCCTGTTTGGGGTTAGCAGGAGCTGGGCAGCAGGGAGGGACGTGCGTGGCAGGCCCGGGGCTCAGCCTCCATCCTGCTCCTTCTCCCACTGGAGAGCCTGGACATGGAGGTCGGCCCAGGCTGCCCACCTGGGAGCACCGCGGGGAGGGGGGGCTCTCCCCTGGGGCCTCAGGGAGAGCAGGAGGGGTGGGCTCCAGGTAAGGGCCACCTCTGAAGCCCCTCCCCCACACCCGGGGCAGGAAGGGTGGAGGTTGGCCAAGGCCTGGCATGGAGGGAGGCCCCTCCCCTGGAGGAAGAGGAAGTTCTCTGGCCGGGACACCCCAGCACCCCTGCCCACTCCCCCAGCCCTCGGGCCCTGGTCTTATCTGGGAGGATGGAAGGGCCATGCCAGGGGGAATTCCTGAGTGACTGGGGCCTCCCAGAGGTCAGGACCCCCAGGCCGAAATGGGGAAGGGGTGTGGGCCGCGCCTCTTCACCTGCGCAGCCTCCCGGCCCATGCCAGGCCCAGAGAAATAGGCCTTCGGAGGAGGAGAAACTGGGGCCCCCACGGGGCAGGCCCGGCTTAGGGCCCCGGGGAGAGGGCAAGCCGGGCGAGAGGGTTCCCGGCTCCGCCCCTCCAAGGGGGACAGCGCCCCCAGGAGCCCGGGCCCCGCAGCGGCAGCCGGGTCTATCGCGCCGCTACCCGAGCAGTGCTGCCTGGAGGAGGCGATGCCCTGCCCTGGGGAGGCAGCGGGGTCCCTAGCACCCCGCGGGGAAGGGGGCTGGAGCTCTATGACGCTGGAAAGAGTTCTGAGGGGCCGCCAGCTAGCCAATCAGAAGCCACCAGGCCGCCTCGCCCCTCGCCCCGTCTGGCACCCTGCAGACCCGGCGCAGACCCCGGCGCCCCAATCCCTCCCACCCCAGCTGGTGGGCGCGGCGACCGGCTGAC